TCTCGATAGTCCTCCGAGGGGTATCCCACGAAGGTAGATTGATCGGTGGAGGTGCGCGTAATCAGAAATTGGATGGTGACACAAGGCGTAGAGACAGCAATTTAGACAGGTTCATGCCGTCTAATCGACGTAATACCCTACGTACTGTGTCTTTGGTGTATTGTATTGAATCTGAGATGTATGTCGATGTATGTAGATGCCTTGGGCTAGGCCTAGGATCTTTATGGGGATGTCAACTAGGGGACCCCTGCCTCTTCTTATATACTCTCGAGGGGTAGGGTTACAAGGAAAATATTATATTTGGTACTATATAAATATCTTGCGGTGCACGTCGACCAGTGCCGTGCACGCCTTGATCTTGTGGGCTGGGGCAGCTCTGATGGTGCGGCCCATGTCTTGTCTTATGGGTACCGGGGGTCATATCCTCCACAGGTGCTCATCCCATCCCTAATATCTTGTATTTTTAACTGTCACCTAAGGGCTTGTTTGATGCACACGTATTCACCTCAATCCACATGTGTTGGAATGGATTATGGTGAAAATTAGACTAAGTTCTACCACAATCTACTTCAACACACACATATTGAGGTAAATCCATGTACATCAAATAAGATCTAAATGTAGAAGATACATCCTCTATTCATATCCCCCGGGGTGGTGCCATGGGAGGAGAGAGATGAGGGAGACAAAGAGAAAAAGAAAAATGAATTGCCCAGTCACATGGGGGCTAACATGTCAGATGGATAGTGTGGATGGATTTTTGGTACTATATAGGAGGAGGTGACTAAAAGTACATTACCAATAGTATGGAATCACCGTCTCGGGACGAGGGATTTGCAAATTTTTGGAGACGCTCTAAGCCAAACATTTGTTCTTTAAATTTGACCAAACTTTTAGCAAAATGTAACAATATCTATGACACTATATTAGCAAAACACATCTACTACTCCTTTTACCATTTCTTTCCCATCTACGATCTCTCCTTGTTCTTTTATTGCCGTTGCATGGTTGGTGGATGAACGACGATGAAGCTCCAAAGCAGTAGCATGCCCTGACGGGTCCCTCTTGGGCGTATTGGGTTCTGGGTTCAAGAGACCACGTCAGTGTGTCTTGCGTATCATGATCCCGACGAGGCTCCTCCGACGATGTGTATCGCGTATCACGTTCATTGCTGGAGGCACCAAGTTAAGTGTTCGTCTGCAAACACACAGTGTGTAGGTGTCAGCCGACCTAAAAGTCAACTAGGCTAATCTTTGGACCGCCTATACCAAGCGATCTAGCTCCTTATCGGTATGCTGAACGTAGTTCGCGTCAACATAACTTCTAAGTGGTGATGAAGCTTGAAGAAGATTCAAACCGTAATTTGCTACTCACGCTAATCAACAAGGTCATATATCGAAGTGGCTAGCCTCATTGTGCATTGGTGTTATTGCTTGGGTTTATTTTTCTTAATATGCCTCAGATTTTGATTTATCGTGATTGTTTTCCCATGATATTATTCTTGCTCTAAGCATCGTTGGGGTTTAGGACAACAAGTAATCTTATATTCATTATAGAAAATATTTCTAATGCTAATAAGAACATGGCTAATAATATAGAGTAGATAGTTGTTGGCTATGCGTACATTTACAGCCTAACTATCAGTCAATCAATATAGTAGTTTGCTACTACGACATTCTTTATTATTAATATATGATTTCTTTTTTCTCTCACAAATTTTTCTTGAGAGTCCGATATGGAGTAAACCACTTCTCTTTTATCTTATTCCATTTTTCCTTCTTCTCAGCGTAAGGCCTACATACAGTCTTTTACTGTACGTACTTGCTCACCACAATCAAACCTAGGTAAAAAAAAACACTCATAGATGCCTGGTCACCAGCTCATCCTGTCCGCATACGAGTATGGCCGTGCTAAGGGTCGAAGCTTCTTTCTCACGCGGCAACGCTTCACTTGTTGGGTTCGCCCTTCCGCCCAATCGTCGGCTGCACAACTGCCTGTTTACGGGGACCATCCCTGACTTGGCGTTTTCGACGCGGATGATTTGACTGGCCTAATCGCCGCAATATCGACTGTGTGTGCTCGTTGTGTGTGTACTACTACTACACTCCATTGTCATTCATGAGGCCTCGATTAGTTTCTTTCTCTAAAATTTAGTTTCTATCATGGCTTGTTTAGTTTTCAAAAATTTCTCAAAAAAATGTTGTAGTAGCCATCACATTGAATCTTGCGATACGTATATGGAGTATTAAATGTAGACGAAAAAAAACTAATTGCACAGTTTGGTTGGAAATTGTAAGACGAACGTTTTGAACCTAATTAGTCCATGATTGAACACTAATTGCCAAATAAAAACGAAAGTGCTATGGTAGCCAAATTCTCAAAATTCGCGAACTAAACACAGCCTTACATCATATGTTTGATACATACATAGAGTATTAAATATAGACTAAAAAATAACTAATTATACAGATTATGACTACTTTACGAGACGATTTTTAAGCCCAATTAGTCTATGATTTGACAATGTAGTGTATAATAAACATGTGCTAATAACGAATTAATTAGGCTTAATAAATTCATCTCGCGGATTACTGAGGACTTATGTAATTTATTTATTATTACTATCCGAATACTTCTATGTAACACTTCTATATGACACCCGATATAACAACTCAAACGCATTTCTCTGCGTATGGTTGTTGACGATGATGCAGGCGGCGGAAGGAAGGAAGGGGATTGATTGCCGATGCAAGTCAACTCGATGGAAGAAGTACGTACAGAGCGGCGCTCGGCTTATACACGTGTCGTTGTACCGCAAATCACAACCTGTACGTACGTACGTATGTGTGTGCACCCGAGTAATGAGCTCATACTATCTTGGACACGATTCATAACAAGACAAGATCAAACAAATGGTTGACAGTCTCTGTGCACTTGCCTATTAGCCGTTGCTATGAACAGGGCCCAGAGAAGACACCAATGCGCATTCACGAAACGTAGAAGTCTTCACTCTGGGGCACTTTTCCGATCGAAGAACGAAGCGGTGGTGGGTCAGGCTCCGCACCGTTGCGACGACTACGGCCTACGTGACGTCTCTGCTCAGCCATATATGCTCGCAGTGGACCTCCACGATCGGCGTGCGATCTCCGAAAGACTTGAGAAGTCTTGACGCGCTAAATCTATAGGTGACCCGAGCACTCGATTTTTCCAGCCATCTGATGTCGTGCGTTGCCGTGTTGGAGACCGCGCCTGGATGCCTCGCCGTCTGTGTCCTGCATGGGCCCCTCGCACATCCATATCTAGTGCAACTGCTCACTCTGTGGCCGCAGTCCCCCGCAGTAGGAAAGCCGGTCCATCGTGGCCGCAGAGGATTCTGAGCGGGGATGCCCACGAGGCAACCGGCCTGCATGCATGGCGTCATGGCATATGGTGCAACACTGCAACTAGTCACGTCACCATGCACTTGGAAGTGGCTCTGACAGCACTTGGGAGTGGCTCTGCCGCGCCATCTATCAGGCCGTGGCACTGCCGCACGTCATCGGTTAGCCTTTCCGGTCGTCACCATATCAGCTACCCGCCGCGTCACCATGCATGGCGCGACACAGGTTTTTCGCCGCGCCATGGCAATAGGCACGGTTAAAGTGTTAGTTTTGAAAAAAAAGAACGATGTTAGATTTAAAACTAATTTACAAGAAAATGTTAAAACTAAAAAAAAAATTCTCCAATATTGTGTCAGTTATGCGCGGCCATTGACGATAATGGTGTGACTACTTTGGGTATATGTAGCATGCATGGAGGAACGGAAAAAAAAACTTCACTGAGTTCTATTCTTAATCGCCAACATGGCGTTGGCCTCTGTATGTCTTTTTTTTTTGCGAATAGTTGGCCTCTGTATGTCAAAGAGGGTCACAGTTTAGCTAGCTGAGCTTCTGGCTCTCTATACCAAGTACCAACGAATTTGACAGAGTCAAACCCACACAGTTTCTACCCCCGTGGTTTCCTGTTCTGAAAGTAAATTAAAGTAACTATATCCCGTGTACGCCCTACGCAGCACTCGAAGAATTAGTGAATTACCACGAGCAGCCCGGAACAGGCTGTTAAACCATTTGGGACTGTCTGGAACGTAGGAATCGAAAACACAAGAATAGAAAAAAAAACATAGGAATGAGGTGAGTGTGTAGTGGTAAAATAGAGTAAAGGAAAAACACAAGAAATAACTAAGAAGGGGTGTTTGGAACGCATGAATCCATAACATAGGAATCATAAGACTGTGAATGATAAAGAGTTATTATTAATGCTTAATGAAATGATATATACTGTGTTAGTTGCACATTTTTTCCCATGACCCCCTTACATGTGGTGCCACTGGACCATGTTGCTACAGTTGGGGCCAAATAAAAATCTAGACAACATCTTTCTCCATGCACTTGGCGCAAAACAAATAATCAAACTACACGTCAGTAGTTACCGGGCTCTTTTTACAATTGTGGGACCCATGCACTTACTCATCCACCCGCTTTTAGCAGTAGACAACCATTTTTCCGATGAATTATCGCCGTAGTCACCTTGGGCTTCCGCGAAGGAATCAGAAACAAGAGATTGGAGTGGAGTTTTGCTTTCCCGTGAAACCGCGAAGAAGCTACAGTGTTCCATATGAAAGGAAATATTACTTTTCTGTGTTCCAAACGCTCTAGTGTTCTCCTGTTCCTGCGTTTTTGTTTCCTTTGATTTTGCTACGAAAATCCTTTGCTCCAAACGGCCTCTGATTTATGCTCGTCTCGGTCGACCTAAACGGCTATACGTACGCTACCATATGTACCCCTACAGGCTACAGCGAGGTGTGCCCTCTGTAAATCGGCAAGCGTGTCTAACGCCCTATATAAACGTGGGTCGACGACTCTGGTTTAGAGCCGCGCGCGGAGATCTTCAGAGTAGTAAGCCACTAGCCACGCCTCCAGCAGGCATCTCTCGCCTTCGCCGGAAGCAGAGAGAAGCTAGAAATGACGATCAAAATGGATAAGACGTCGATCATCGTTTGCTCAGTGATCGGGTCTCTAGGATTGTTGAGTGCCATCCTGGGATTCTCGGCAGAGGGGACAAAGCTCACTGTAAGCACTGCCGATCTACATTTTTTCTTTCAGTTTTGCTGTCTTATTTCAAGATTCAAATTCTCCGTTTGAAACCAACCTACAAATAACAACCTAGCTATATCTATTCATCAATCATATTATGCCCCTTTTGTATCAGTATATCCAGTTATATATTGTGTTTCCTTCTATTTTTTTATGGGCATGACAGATCTTGTTTTGAGCTGTGAACATTGTATGTTATTATATATATATGTACACTCGCTTGCCTGCTTAACTGATGAACTCGAATCATGCTCCATGCATGTAGCCATATACCATACTGGTGTACGGCGACGACTGCCTCTACCCGCAGAACCCGGCGATCGGGCTCGGGATCTGCGCTGCCATCTTCCTGATAGTGGCTCAGGTCACCTTCTCCGCGGTGGGCGGCTGCTGCGGCTGCTGCAGGTCCCGCTCCATCCCTTCGGAGACCAAGAGGATCGTCAGCATCGTCTGCGCCGTTTTCTCATGGTGAGTAGTGATACTGACTCCAACTGGTCGATCATGGCAAGCCCACTACATATATATAAGAACTCCCTTCGTTGTTTTGTGAACAAAATAAAAAATGATGGAACCGAACAGGATAGCGGCAGTGATCGCGTTCGCGCTGTTCATAGAAGGAGCGGCGTGGAACGCCAACGTGGTGCGGGTGGCCGAAGCGCCCTACTGCCCCTACCTCAAGGACGGCGTCTTCGCCGGCGCGGGCGTGCTCGCCCTCGCCGCCACGGCGCTCGGCATCACCTCCTTCATCATGCAGCGGACTCAGCCAGCAGCTGGGGACGCGGCGGCAGCGGCAACGCCAGGCACACCAAACAACAGGCCAGGCGCAGCAGGCGGGCAGTCGCCGTCCCCCGAGGTAGTAATGGACCACCCGCTGTTACCATCGGGCAAACCACAGAACGACTACCCTGTAAAACCCCAGGGATACGAGCAGCCTCAGGTCGTCCCTCCTACTGAGTCTCACCCACAAGCAGGCTACGCACAGGCACCACAGACGAACCTACAGCCCCCTCCTCCAGCTGCTCAGGACAATGTGTCCCACCACGCGCCGAACCACCAGCTCCCTCCGCGCCCGCCAGCCCCAGCAGCGGCACCGGCGGTCGCCGTGGCAGCAGCCGCAGCCTCGGAACCAAGCGTGCTGCAGCCGGCGCTCGGGCCGGTCGCGATGGGCCAACCGCTGCCGCAGGTTCCGCTACAGTACTCTGTTCCTATCCCGGCACCTCAGGTCGGCGGCGTGGATATTCCGGCCGGCGTTCTCCCCTCTACTGCTCCTTCGACGCCAGGGAGCGGACCGTCGGCACTTTCGACGGTTATTCGCAACGAAGTAGCGAGACAAGGAGTTAAATTGGCTGCGCACGTGGTGACGCAGTCCCTCTTTTCTGATAACAACACCGTTGGGGATGGCGTTCTTTCCATCATGACTGGTTCTGCTGGAGGCGACGCTGTTCAGGCTACAAATTAATTGAGAGGTCGGATGATGATGCTTAATGCTCTGTGCGTTATACGTAGTTTTAGTTTGCTGTTTGTACTTGTTCCTGTATTTGTCAGCAGCTTCGAGACTGTGAAGCATGTCCCTGTCTGTATACCTACTTGTTCTGGTTTCAATCATCCTAAGCTCGAACTTTACTTTTCATTATACCTGTAATGTAACTTTTGCCCAGTTTCCATCCGAATTGTGCAGCTACACTGTTTTGTATTTGGAGGCGACTATTAGCTACATCATCTTTCATTTGCCTCAATCTCAACACTGGGCCGCTTGAAAAGAAAATGAATACGGCTGCCGTCACCGTCATCCGAAGAAGGAACTGGGCCTTAGGCCGGCTGATTTTAAGCCGTTCGGTTGTTTTTTAGGTGCAATAGTCGTATTGGTCCCTGAACTATTACTCAAAGCTCATTTTGATCCTCACTTTTAAAAAGGCCGTATTAGTCCTCAAACTCTACTTTTAGGTTTAATTTCATCCCAAAACTATGAAGATGATCGTTTCAGTCCTCAAAATTTTACATTTTGGGCTCACTTGATCCGTAAATTATCAAAATGTATTTCAGACTTTAAAATTTTATTTTTCAACTGAACTTTGTCTATAGTCCTACGTGGAACGTTGCACCTGTTCATCTCCAACACCACCGGCGATTGGAGATAGAACATATAATATTCATAAAAAATTCTGTAGTGGCCATTAATAATCCTAAGCTGTTATGTTACCTTATAATGGTACCGTGTGTGTATATATATCCGATTAAATGATTTTTGTGGGAGCAATTACAGTTGCTTGGAACGCTATTTATTCCCTAAGAATACATAGATATATACTGAAATAATAGCAAATCTATAATTTTTCCTTAGCTACTTCTAGAGTTAGGCTCAACTAAAAATAATTAGTGTATAAAATAATATATTTTTATCCATAGGCCAAAAATAGTTCATATTTAAGAATATTTATATCTATATGCATCTTAGAATATGAATATAAATGTTGAAAGTCTGCTATCCGATTCGCTAGCTGGGACGACACTAGGGACAATAGTACCTAACAATAACCGTCCATCTCAAAACGTGGGTGGTGCTGGACCTATAACCCTATATTATTATAGTTGAGCCAAAATGCATTTTGTAATTCATGGATGAAATTGTGCCTAAAATATAAAGTTTTATTTATAGACAAAGTTGAGTTGAAGATAAAGTTTAAAGACCGAAATGCACTTTGATAGTTTATGGATGAAATTGAGTCCAAAATGCAAAGTTTGAGGACTGAAATGATCATCTTTATAGTTCTAGGATGAAAGTGAGCCCAAAAGTAGAGTTTGAGGATTAAAATAGCCATTTTAAAACTTCAGGAATGAAATTGAGCCTCGAGTAATAGTTCAGGGAAAAAAAAAACGACTATTCTACCTTTATGAAAAGAAACCACATGAACCGTCTATGGCAGAGACCTGGGCACCAATGTCTTGGCATGCCCATAAAGAACATCAAGGCACATCGAATCCCTATGCTGCTGCTTCCCCTACCATACTCTACATCTTGCCATCTTCGTATAGTATGTCTCCTCGTCCCTATAGCCCTAACCTCACCTAGCTGCTTTACCTGTGTTCCTAGCCAAAATATTTTGCCGTCACCATTGATGTCTACAGAGGTGGAAAACAACCAAACAGAACGTGTCGATTCCAACTAACGTGGCTCAAATATGAAGTCTTCTATAGAAGGAATCGGTTCATGTGGTTGAGATTATGACCAAATCATGAAAAATGTGTATATGCTTTTGATATCCTACATGTAATGAACATCGTTCAACTTTTTTCTTCCAAGATGTTGGTCATGCACAAGCGGATATAAACATGGTTAGAACATGGTTGACCGCAATGCAGTAGAAAGGTGTGGCTAGCAGGCATGAGATCAGTAGTTTATGGCCTATGTGATGGTTCCACAATTTGTTTGGAAATGCTTGAGTTTCCAATGGATGATGGCGCCGGCGGTAATCTTTTGGTGTAGCAGTGCACGTAGCAAACATGGGCAGCATTGTGAGGAATCCGATGACGCTTTACGGAGAGAAGGAAACTACAGATTTACATGATAATGGGCAAGATAATCCATAAACTAAATTTACAGAAGGGCTACGAAACTGAACAAAATTGTTAGTCTTGGACAGTGTTTTTTTTTCCCGAGGAATGAAGCTCACCAAGAAAAAACAAGGCTACCCTGATATGATGTCAGCATAAGCTGCACGGCCACATAAAGGATTGGGAAAAAAGAAGTAGGAGAGGAAATGCATCAATATCTTTACGGTAATTCTAACTCGAACTTGAGTGTTTCTATCCCTCTCAACACTCGATTCATTTTCACTGTTCATCTTCTCCAACTTCGGCGGGCTTAGAAGGGGCCGGTGGCCGGGGAGCAGGGTGGCCAGGCGGTGGGGACGGCGGCCGGGCGATTAGGAGCCCTGGTGGCGGTGGAGGCGGCCGGGCCAGGCCGGAGCGGGGGCGCCATAGCCGAAGCTCGCCGCGGAAGCCGGAGATCGGGGAGGGGAAGAAGGAGGCCGCCGCAGCCACGCTAGTTTGGGCGGCGGGGTGGTGGGTGGTGGCGAGGAAGAAGATGAACCGTGCAAAAAAAATTGAGTGTTCCTCCCCTCTCAACACTCTGAGTCTCAGCTAGACAGACTCTATCTTTATGTGTCTGGGTCGGTGATATCAATACTGAGTTTGTAGAGATAGATACAGTAGAGGCACTTGGATCTTGGATAAATAAGAACTACAATCAAACAAACAGAAGAACTATTTGCAAAAATATTTTCAAATAAATAAAGCTAAAAATATTATAATAAAAACATAGCTATCTCTGTTATTTGCGCGTACCACTTTGCTAGTCTATTATCACCTATGAAACGTGACGGCTTTCGTCCAACAGGACCTGGTGCGCCCGCGCCCGCCCCCGATCCCTGCACGTCTAGGATACGGAAAAAGATCAAAAGCACCCTCCTCGTGTCCAAACTCTGTATCCGCATAATCAGCTACAATAGCCGTCAAGACGCATATGCAATTAATCGACCACGCCGGTGCTGTGCGCACGTATAGGCTCAAGGAAAAAGCACGTACGAGCTCTACAAATGGAAGCAAATACCAGGCTCAGGTGCCACCTCGCCGTTTATTTATTTAATAAAAAACACGTATACAAGTTCAAGAAAAAAGCACTTATACAAGTTCAAGAAAAAAGCACGTACGAGCTCACCAGTTTAATTCCAAAAGCATGTACGTTTATTTATTTAATAAAAAAACACGTATACAAGCTTAAGGAAAAAGCACGTACGAGTTCACCAGTTTAATTCCAAAAGCATGTACAAGTTAAATTTCGAAGCACGTAATCTGAAAAAATTAAAGGTTTTCCTTGCTGTCTGATCTCTGTGTCGGCGAACAACACTTGCTTTCATCAACTACACCGTTTCATCCAGGTACTGCATATCTATCTGTCAATTCGAATTTGCTACTTTTAGTATTTTGCTAAATATGCTTATCTTTGATGATGACTCTTTTTCACTATGGTCTCCAGGTACTGCATGTAGCATGTTTGCCATCATTGACGTCAGCTCAACAGTGACATGGTAATTTAAGTAACTATAATCATCGCGCTGTTGAACTGGACCAATAAATTGTGTTATCATCGATCTGGCTTGGCGCGAGACTCCATCGTTTGTAATTACAAGGAAAGCGTCCGGTAGATGCCAGATGGTACAATCGATGCGCTTTTTTTTTACCATATTAGCGCTACTGTTTGTCAGATCACTCTCATAAGTTTGTCGAGACATAACCTTTCAGGCGGCACTCTCAATCCTTAAGACCTACATGAGAGGTCTCCTTTTTTAAAGTGTAAAGCTCCGAGGCTGTCTAGCCATCCGAGGGTCGAGATTTTTTTTTCTCTCTATACATAATAATTAAAACACGAGCATGCACATATACAGGAGTACATCAAAGCCAGCTGGGAGTACAGAGCATTGAGCCATTTCATCGTCTCCGATATCTCAGACCCCTAGCTACTACGACCGAGAGACAGAGGCACAGAGGCAGCAGGATCAATATGCACAGGACGGCGGTGGAGACTCCCTTGCCGGTGAGGGAGACTCCCGTGCCGGTCCTCGCATCCGAAGTGGTGACGCTGTTGGGTGTGATGTGCGCCGTGCTGGGGTTCGTAGCCGAGGCCAACAGACTCAAAGTAAGCGATCCAAACGATGTCCATATATATTCTAGCATTAATCTCGCCGAATCGCATAAATCTCTATATGCAGAAGTACTCGTCTTTGCCAGAACAATGGTTTTGATCAAGTCGGTGACGGATTAATTGATGTTCTTGCAGCCGGATGAAATCCACGTGTCTGGTCGCGACTGCGTGTATCCGGCCAACCCCGCTCACAAGCTGGGGTTCTGTGCCATCTTCTTTCTTGTGATGGCCCAGATCATCGCCTCGGCGGCCGGCGGCTGTTGCAGTTGTTGCAGGCCACCGGGCGGTGCTTCTTATTCCAACTCCACTACCACTAGGCGACGAGTCGTGGGCGTCGTCGCCTCTGTCCTCTCATGGTAATCAACTCCGCATGCACCAGCGTCGCTCTCAAATCTCAATAGGAGTATATTCTCTCGGATTAATGAAACTGGTGTGGTTAATTTGCAGGGTAGCGGCGGTGATCGCTGTGGTTTGCTTCTGGGTAGGCGCGGCGCTGAACGCGCCCAAGACGCGCCGAGCCAAAATCGCGGGCCCCGACGAGGAGGAGTGCTACTTACTCAAGGGCGGTATCTTCGTCACGGCGGCCATGCTTAGCCTCGTCGCCACCTCGCTTGGGATCATGTCCTGTGTCTTGCTCCACCTGCCGGCGGCTACGGACGCGCCGCCGGAACAAGGCCATCATGCGGTCGGGCTGCCGCAGTGGCCAGCTCAGGGGTTCGTGCATCCGTACCCTGCGTAAGGGTATGGTCAGGCATCGGACCCGAAGTTCGCTCCTCCTCCTTCTCAGGGTCAGGCGAACGGGCAAGTGTAGGTGTAGTGCGTAGATGATGTGATGGGTACACAAAAGGATACTTCTCGTGTTGTGCCTACTGTGGTGCATGTTGCTGTGCATATTATAGTAGTTCTAGTTTCGAGTTGCATTTCAACGAATGATTGAAGCTAATGTACGTGTAATGTGTGTGATCGTGAATCTATAGATTTTCAGCACCATGTCTATTTTAGAACACACAATCCTTGTCGGCCATTACTACCGGGTGCACTAGAGTGACACTGATGATGCTTCACTGACGGACCGTAAGTCTACAATCCGAATAATAAATGGGAACCTATTGACCCGTATCACTCTCAGATTAAGCTACAATCTGGCATTGATATGGGACTATCGCTGCTGGGTCAAGCTACAACCAGTAGTGATATACTAATGTTGGGTGATAACTTTGACCCGACGTATATCATTGTTGGGTTTTGATAGACCCGGTGTGTCCTACCTATAGAATAAAACCATGACTCCCTTCTTCCTCCTTCCTCTTAGCCTAAACACACTCATTCCAAGAGGTATTTTCCCCCACCTCTCTCTTCATTGTTGTGACCATTTTTCACAGAATGTTCATGGAGGGGTTTGATTTTTTAAGAATGAACATGATCTCCTTGCTTTAAGTTGGGTCATTATAGCAATTCTTTGAATATGTAGCTTGTTTTATTGTTTTTTATTCTCATGTTTGTTCTTTCTCTATTTTAGAGAGCATAGTTCAAGGAATTCTTTAAGAAGGCATCCGAATTTTGGTGAATCCATTTGGTACCTGTAATTTAAGGTTAGTATCTATGGATCCATTTAAATAGTTGGTTTGCTTTTTCAGATTGCTTTTGATTCTCAAGTAAATGTGATAGCTTAGTTGGTTCCTTTAGTTTCTCCAATCTGTTTTAATTAGTTTAGCATCATTTTTCACGATGAACTTATGTGACACTAGTACTTTGAGGCTATTATTACCTAGCAACTCATTTAACTTCATGATAGGTTGATTTTCTAGTGAATGATGGTAGTTTAATTGGAGGCCACCTTTCATAAAATGAGGTTATCAACACGTTTAAATTCTAGCTACTTGTTAATTTCATTTGTAGGGTTGGTATGGGATTTAAAATTCATTAATATTGAACATTCATTGTTCACAAAACCGATGACATAGATATGTCATATATTTTTTTTAACAAAATTTAAATGATGCCTCTAATTTTTTGTTTATGCATTCATAAGCTTGAAACTTTGAATAAAGCCGCACGTCATATTTTTTTAGTTCATATAGATGGATCGAGGATGGATGTACGGTCTCACCCTTTCGGACCTTCATTTTGTGATCGACGTTGACTCCTTTTTCTAGGCAGTCAAAGACTATGTCACACGTAATCCATGGAATGAAGGCTATGTGTGCTGCCCATCCAGAGATTCCAAGAATCAGAGACAATTCCACAACCCTGAGTAGATACTATCTCACTTGATTACCCGAAAGTTCATGGAAGATGTGACGATATGGACTAAGTATGGGGAAGAGGGGGAGCACGCAGCAGAGGACCAAGATGGCTATGAGAGCATTCCTGGCGAAGCAAGTGGCCACAGGGAAAAGGTGGTTAACAAGAAAACACATGCCAATAGGGAAGAGATGGTTAATGAGGGAATAAATGTCAACAGGGAAGAGGTGATTAACGATGTTTTTATGAATATGTTAGCTGATGATACCATGGAAGATGGCCTTTCTAAGTGCTGTGTGGTGTGGAGCCATGATTCCTTAGTCCATGACATTTGGAATATCTGAAGAAAAATACCACTGTATCCAGGATGCAAAATGAGGAAGTCGGAAGCTAGTCTCGGGCTATGAGAGCTAAGATCTACTTATTGTTTGTTTGATAAAGGCTTTGGAGACTCTTATGTGTATGGAAGAAACTGCTCACAAGCCTTAATGAGTTACCAGGGATGACATACAAGGCCAAGCAAATGATTTGCCCAGTAGACCTCGAAGTTCAAAAAATCCATACGTGTAATATTGATTGTAAATTGTACAATGGAGATGAATACAAAGACTTGGATATGTGCCTAAAATGCGGAGCTCCATGGTGTCAGATATATGGCCCGGGGTACCCTCACCAACCATGTATCTGGCCCACCAAGTGGAGGACGCCAAGGATGAAGCCCACGAGGATTAGGCGCAACCATCGACTTGGAGATCACGACGTATAAAGAGTATCCGCCGCCATCGTAGTTATGGTAGGATAGGATTGATCTGTCCTAACAAACTAGGTATCCACTCTATAGTGCCGATCACCCTCGCTGTAACCCAATCCCTTTGCCTATATAAAGAGGGGTAAGGATCCCATGACCGGCACGTCCACCACGACACTGTCGCCTCATTCCAATCTACCTCGTAGCTAGGAGCAACAGCCCCTGTAACTGAGCATATGAATACAAGAGCAGCAGCACCACTGGAGTAGGGTTTAGCGTGCCACCACGCCCCAAATCAGTATAAATCCTTGTATCTCATGTGCTACCATCTGGATCCATCTACGCGATCACGTTGCTAGGCACTGCTGGAGCTAAATAATCCGACATTTGGCGCGCCGGGTAGGAGCCTTTGAAAGGTCCTAATGGCTAGAGGGGGGTGAATAGCCTAATAAAAATTTCTACAACAACACTTAACAAAATGGTTAGACAATTATGAGGTGAAGCAAGAGTTGTGCTAGCCTACTCAAAATGCAAGCCACCTACCACAATTATAGTTTAGATAGTATCTATTCACAAAATAGCTATGACACTACCCTATGTTAGTGTGCTCTCAAAGGCTAACTAAAGAGCCACACCAACCAACCAAGCAAGCTCTCACAACTAGCTACACTAAAGAGCTTGACAACTACTTTGCGGTAATGTAAAGAGAGTGATCAAGAAAGTTATACCGCCGTGTAGATGAAGGAACCAATCAATCACAAGAGTGAATAACAATGAAGACCAATCACCTCAGAATCAAAGGATGAACACAATGATTTTTTACCGAGGTTCACTTGCTTGCCGGCAAGCTACTCCTCGTTGTGGCGATTCACTCACTTAGAGGTTCACGCGCTAATTGGCATCACACGCCAAACCCTCAATAGGGTGCCGCACAACCAACATAAGATGAGGATCACACAAGCCACGAGCAATTTACTAGAGTACCTTTTGGTTCTCCGCTGGGGATAGGTCAAGAACCCCTCACAATCACCACGATCGGAGCCGGAGACAATCACCAACCTCCGCTCGACAATCCTCGCTGCTCAAAGCCGTCTAGGTGGCGGCAACCACCAAGAGTAACAAGCGAATCCCGTAGCGAAACACGAACACCAAGTGCCTCTAGATGCAAACACTCAAGCAATACACTTGGATTCTCTCCCAATCTCACAAAGATGATGAATTAATGATGGAGATGAGTGGGAGAGCTTTGGCTAAGCTCACAAGGTTGTTATGTCAATGTAAATGGCCAAGAGAGTGAGCTTGAGCCGGCCATGGGGCTTAAATAGAAGCCCCCATGAAATAGAGCCGTTGTACCCCTTCACTGGGTACAGCGCGGGGTGACCGGACGCTCCGGTCCGATCGATCGGACGCTGGCCCTCAGCGTCCGGTCATGTGATACTCGCCACGTGTCCCCTGCTTCAAATGTTGTTCATCAGATTTCAATGGTCATCTGTTGGCCGAACACTGCGCACAAACTGACCGGATGCTCAGCCTCCAGCGTCCGGTTGTTTCCAGTAAGGTTTTAGAAACGATATTTCACGACCGGACGCATCCGGTCATGCTTGACCGGACACAACCAGCGTTCGATCACTTGTTGACTTCATACTGCGCTGATTGGTCAACACGACCGGACACAGCCTTCCAGCATCCGGTCACTGAGCGACCCAGCGTTCGGTCGTTTAACCGATGCCAGCGTCTTCGCTGTTACAATTGACCGGACACGCTGGTTCCTCAGAGACCAGCGTCCGGTCACTTTGTGACCAGCGAGACCAACTCCTCTTCACGTCTATCTTCTTCACCCTTGCTCAAATGTGCCAACCACCAAGTGTATCACCTTATGCACATGTGTTAGCTTATTTTCACAAATATTTTCAAGGGTGTTAGCACTCCACTAGATCCTAAATGTATATGCAATGAGTTAGAGCATCTAGTGGCACTTTGATAACCGCATTCCGATACGAGTTTCATCCCTCTTAATAGTACGACTGTCAAACCTAAATGTGATCACACTCTCTAAGTGTCTTGATCACCAAAACAAAATAGCTCCTACAAAATATACCTTTGCCTTGAGCTTTTTGTTTTTCTCTTTCTTCTTTTCGAGTTGAAGCACTTGATCATCACCATGTCATCATCATCATGCTATGATCTTCATTTGCTTCACCACTTGAAGTGTGCTACCTATCTCATGATCACTTGATAAACTAGGTTAGCACTTAGGGTTTCATCAATTCACCAAAACCAAACTAGAGCTTTCAGCCTTTCGCGTACAGATTAATATTATGTTTTAGATAGGAATCATCACCAAAATTGATGCCGCCATGGAGAAGATGCTCCCGGGCGAGAAGATCACCTTCGGCAGCCTGGACTTCATCGCTGACCAGTTTGGGGACTTACATCTGCAAGAACCCGAACCACCTGTGGGGCAAGAGGAGCAGCCTCCCTTGATCTGTACATTCTTCACTGGATTGGAGGAAGTTGTGGACATTGGGCCCCGTGCTCTTGCCCAACACCTGGACCACTACGGATGCGACGTCTTCACCGAGCTCGGATGAGAGAGAGATCTCAAGGCCATCCTCTGACTTTGGGAAGATCCAAACTGAGTCCCCCGATCGGAGGGAGTGTCTAGTGCGTGGTGTCGCTCCGGGTCATGGTGGATGTGACGCGGCCGGGGTCCCCTAGCCAACCAATGGCCGCGCGGTACAACAATC